AAACTCTATAAACCCTAAACCCCGAAACCCCGAAACCAGGAGCAGGATCTTCGACGCTCCGAGTTTCGACTCGAGGAGGTCGTCTTCTTGGTGCTTAAACCCTGGGGTTGTAGGGACTTTAGGGGTTAAGGGACGTTCGGGTTTTAAGGAATTTGGGGTTGTAGGGACTTTAGGGTTTTAGGCACTTTCGGGTTTTAGGGACTTTGGGGTTGCAGGCTCCAGACCCCAGAGTATGTAGTGTAAGGGATCTGAGGAGTCAGCGCGCTAAACCCAACACTCTAAACCCTAAACCCTACAACCCTACAACCCTAAACCCTACAACCCTAAACCCTAAACCACCCTAGTAGCTGTCAAGGTGTGCAGGGCTTCGGAAGTTCCGGGTCGTCCCATGGGCTTCCGGCGATTCTAGGGTTTTTGCTTTTGAGTTGACGGTGTAGGGTTTAGGGTTTAGGGTTTAGGGTTGGAGTTGGGGTCTAGGGAGGTCAAGGGTTCGGGTTTAGGATAATTCTAGTCAAGAGCTCTGTTAGGGTTTAGGATAGTTATAGTTGAGGACTCTGTGCTCAGAGCGATGGGTTGAATTAGGGTATTTAATCCTTACATCCATAGCCCTAGTATGGTTTGTCTTGGGTGTGGAACACTTGTGAATCCGGATCGCAGGGCTGAGGCAAACAAAAGAGGTTCATAAACTACTACTACGACTACTACTACTACTACTACTACTACTACTACTACTACTACTACCACTACTAAACCGCTCAACCCCTAAACCCCAAACCCCAAAGCCCCAAACCCCTAAACCCTAAGATTTCTTAACCCGGGGGTTTCCCCATGAGAGCTTCACCCCAAAAGCCCGATGCTTACTGCAAGACAGTCGAAGCTAAATCACGGTTTAGGGTTTAGGGTTTAGGGTTTAGGGTTTAGGGTTTAGGGTTTGTCTTGTAAGAAGCCCCGGGATTAAGCCCCCCAGCCGCCAAAAAAAGCAAAAAAAGGCACGTGTATTTTTTAAGAAAGAACCCCAAACCCCAAAGACCCTAAACCCTAAACCCTAAACCCGATAGATCCTAACCCTAGGCCCTAATCATACACCACAAAACACGCGCCAATCCAACCCCAAAGCCGATGATCCTGGAGGAAGCAAGACGCCTGCGTCGCGACAAAGCAATCCGTGTGGGCACACCAAGTTAAGGGTCTAGGGCTTTAGGGTTTAGGGGTTTAGGGTTTAGGGCTTTAGGGTTTAGGGGTTTAGGGTTTAGTGGGGCTGAGGCTGTTGCTAGTAAATTTAATGTTTGGGAATGCAGGTTTTGAGTACTAAACCTCAAACAGTCAGGGTGCATGCTGTGCATACACTTAGAGCTCAAGTTCTCGGCAGCTTCATCAAATCTAGCAACAGTGTTCTTAGTTATTTATCTTTGAGTCCTGCTGAAATAGAGTTTGGTTTACACCAATACCAACACCGTTTAACAGGCCTTTAAGACACATATTTACCGGTTTTGCCTTTTTGGGCCTGCAAAGCTGTAAGTTTTAAGGTGAAGTCTTGGGATTCCTGTTTCGGGCTTGGCAGTAGGGCTTAGGGTTTAGGGTCCTGTTTCGGGTTTAGCAGTAGGGTTGCTGCACTTTGGGTCTAGGCCTTAAAGTGGCGAAGGGCTCCGGTACTGAGGTACCCAGACCGCTGAGTGCAGACTGCATTGCCCCCAACCAGAAACCTGTAATCGTTTATAGCACCGCTAAATGCAGTCGATGTTGGAGTGCCTTGTCAGAGGACCATGGCAGTAGAGCAAAAGAAGCAAGGACATCAAAGCCCTAAACCCTAAACCCTAAACCCTAAACCCTAATAAGTTCTGATCCCGAAACCCGAAGCTCGGGTGTTGTCCCACGCCTGTGACCTTGCACGCCTAGTGAGGGATTAGGTGTTACGGTTTAGGGTTTAGGGTTTAGGGTTTAGGGTTTAGGGTTTAGGGTTTAGGGTTTAGGGTTTAGGTTTCCAGACTGGAAACTTCCTACTTCAGAAGCCCGCTCTGCCCCGTGGAACATTGGGGAGTCTTCTGCCACCTAAGTAGGCAAGAGGATTATCCAGGGCAATCTTGCCAAGCTCCCGCATCTTGATTTGCGTGTTCGACCGTGCAGGGTGTAAGGGGTTCAGGTTCAATCTTCAGTTTGCATCCCGTCATAGTCCCTAGCACATGACCTCATGCAATGATATACCACCTTTTAAAAACCTACCTTAACATAGGGTCTGAAAAATGGCTGATGCTGACTGTCCTTTTGAATATGTGCCATAATCCCAGCACTCCAGTCGATGTAAGATCCCCTCTGAATTGAAAGCCTACAAGACCCTTTAACAGCTTATTCTAGTTTTTGAAGACTGTTCTATCATTCGCTTTAAAACTTTGTAGTAGTTCTCCTACAAGATTTGATTGGCACCTGCTGATAGCGTCTAACCGAAGCAAGTTTTTGTCGACAAAGGACGAGAGCTTTTACTGAACAGTCAGAATAGGCCTTTGGGCATGTATTTTCATATGCCACAAGCAGATCTTCGTACTGATAATTTGGGCCCTATATTACTTGAGATTGAATTGCAATCCGAAGCACTCAATCCTAAACCCTAAACCACCCTAAACGCGCAAAGGAACTGGCGCGATGTGTAGGGTTTACCCTTACCATCAAAGGACTCATAGTTTAAAGGCTTTGGGGCCCAAAGCCCCTATTATAAAAGGCTTTTGGGCTATTTTGATGCTAGGGTTTAAGACCCTCAACCCTAAACCCTAAACCCTAAACTTGCTCCCTCAAAGGAACTGGTTTATGGTTCAGGGTTTAAGGTTTAAGGTTTCTT